AAAGGCTTTTTATTTCGCACAAGAGATCAGCGTAGTTGGAAGCAGGAGATCGACGAGGACTCTACAAGGTGCCAAAACGGATTGAGAGTGCGTGAATAGGTAAAACCATAGTGTTCATAGAGGATTGATAAAAGAAGCACTCTTTTAAAACACATACTTTTATTATGGCTAATCCGTTATTCGTGTCACTAGCGTTGAGTTCATGGCTACCAAATCCTTTTCCATGAATTTTGTACAACTCCGCCTGCATAGCAGCGATTGCTTGCTCTTCCTAAAACATATACAGCGATTAAAATTAAGTTTCGAAAAAATGAAGGCAAGAGTCACGTTAGAACTTTGCAGCCAGTTTTCGCCGAAAATACTCAAACAATATCCAATAGAATGAGCCTCTACCCTCTACCTCTGTTTAGCCAAATGAGAAATGATTTAAAAGTCGCGATGCGCAAAGCTTGACCTCTGCTTAAGTATGTGTGCAACTAGAAGCTCTACCTAAAACGATCACTAATTCGAAACGAAGATGAGGTAAGGTTTAAGGTAACGGTAAGATGAGGTAGGGTTCAAGGTAACGCCTTACGACTTTTTACTGAGTAGTCGTTGTATTTGTAAGAGAAGTTGCATCCAGCCGTTCGACAGATGGATGAACTTCGAAATTAAGGTGACTATGGTGATTAAGGTATCGAGAAATAGATGTTAGCAAAATCTCACGGACAGGACTTTTGGAACAACCTAATACACTGCACCTCATAATAATACTTTCACTTGAAGCGGTGCTGGGTTGGAACATTTTAACCAGAGCTTGCATTCAGCATAAACGTTTGAAGCAAACCAGAGAAACACAAAACTATTCAATGACTTCTCTCCATCATTATTCAAAACACATGATTCCATTTGAATTGCTGTATGTAGAATGAAAAAGATATCGAGCCCCTTTGCGAAGTCTTCGATTCCAAGCACAGTTATAAAATTGGACAAATAAGCCGTCGTAGAGCGGAAAAAATTCTTTCTAATGATAACGTTTTCCGGGTTATGCTCATAAATTGAATTTATACGCTCGAAAAAAAAAACGCTATAATATTATGTTCCACAGGTGGAATATCATTACGAAGAGCAGGTATATAAATATATGAAAAGTGGAATTACAGGGACATGGGGAATTAGAATGCAACCCTGAGAAACTAACAAACCTCATAATCCTTCATTTGTTCAGCATGCTTCATTTTCATTTTGCCAAGCCGGTCACATATCATTTGATGGACGCGGAAAAATAAGAACAATGAATTGCCTCCATAGACAAGCCGATAATGCGCGGTTGGAATCAGCTTCGGCGGCTCGTCATCCGGAGCATCCGTTCTAAGATTAGACCACATTACACTCAAATTAGCTCTGATGCAATTTAAAAGAGAAAGCGAGTGGAAGTAAGATACTTGTTGTTCCATTCAGATAGCATTTCGCCGATTCTCACTTGCGTTTTTTATTATGTATTTTTCAATACGCTATGTGAATAAAATTTGGAGGGGGGATACTCCTTCGCATCTTATTCCTAGACAGCATCCCTCTAGACTCCGACGCTGAGGATAAGATAATGTGAACAACAAATTTCGAAAGCAGTTTTGATTAAACCAGTAGATGTCTTACATTCTACACATCTGTATAACTATACATCTTCTGCACAAGTCATCACCTGAACTCTTTACTCTTCGAGCGGGCAAAGAATTCTCCATTCCCTGGACCTCCATGATCATTTTCTTAGGACTACCTGTCACGCAAAAATTGTAGAAGAACTCATAGACGCGAGGTATACTTCGCACTACAGCGGGACTTATCAGAAATATGCCTCCAAAGAGTCGATTGGCGTTCTCATTGTTGTCTTAAGCATTGGAAAACACAATGGAGTGCTCCCTCCCCTCCAAACTAAATTTTCACCCACTGGTGTTACCATTTGCCATGAATGCTGCTATTTATAATGCTGCAGTTTCGACCACAAGTAACAATGTGTACTGCGACATTGAATTCAATGAGGCAAAAATAATTCGTTGTAAACTGAAAATGCGCGATATAATAGCAGCAGGAAAACAAGCTGATACAGCGCAAAGAAACTTAAAGGGAAGAAATAAGGCCCCAAAAAAAATAAACGGAGACAAGAACGGTATCTGAGCATATGTAAATCGATGAGCCACATTCATTATTCACCCACTCGAATATCATAGGATTCGAAGAGGCAAAACCGCGACCAAACTTGAAATTGCCTCCATTTGCGTTTGTTTAGGTGGTCAGTCAAAAGAAGTGGGCGATCGTTGTTTTCTTCACATCACTCATGCTCCTCGGTCATCGGCATTTACCAAACCACTCTGTGACACATCTAAAAAAACAACAGAACATTATCAGAGCATGTCACAGTAGCACTGCGGAGAAACCCGGTAAGTGCTCAGGTGGATCAATGAATTGTGGGGAGAGCTTACTGGACATCATCTTGACACTTATTTTATCTATTTTGTGCAAATATCATAAATTGATGCTTAGTTCGCGAATTTGCGGTAAGAATTACATTTTGATATTCTTTGGCAAAAACGTGCAATAGAATAAGGAAGCATAAAACCTAGTTCACCTCACACTGCGCAGAATCGACTTTATCTTGTTCTTCTCTTCTTTATGGATATTGGACTGCCGCTTCACATAATGTATGATTAAATTCGATACATCATGTATAATAGATCTCTGTTCGGGATACAACATCACTAGATGGGGACCAACATCTTCACAACGGCCTTCTCAGGACTAGAAAATATCTTCCAAAACACAATGAGCTCTTCGTGAGGTGGACACGAGTGATGATGAGTTAAACCTACTTTTGCTGCCTCTCATCGAACATGACCTCAATATGGTGGAGGAGAGCCTTCGCTTTGATCCATTTCGAGTCACTGTTACGTAGCGCATTCGTTTGATGATCAAGTGAACGCATCATATGCTTCTCATTTTGTTCGCGCCATATTCTGTAAATAAGGGGATCACTCTTTCGTGTCTTAAAATTTATTGAAGCAGATGTTAAATATTGCCTGTGCACGGAGGTAGAGGAATAGGAGTGAGGAACGCCGAGGGAGAGAGGGTCCTGGACCTGGCTACGGCCCACGATCTGGCAATCTGCAGCACGTTCTTCGCGAAAAGGGAGACTCAGAAGGTCACCTACAGCAGTGGAGGGAGACAGACGGAAATCGACCATGTACTGGTAAGAAGATCATCCCTCAAAACTGTGAAGGATATCAAGGTAATTCCTGGCGAAGAACTGGCTCCTCAGCACAGGCCCCTCCTGGCAGACATAGCCATAGACCTTCCCAAGAAGACAAGGGTAAGAACCGAGAGGAGAATCCGGTGGTGGAAGTTGCACCGAGCAGAGAAGAGCGACCTCAAACGAAGGATAATGGAAGTTGGTCTCCCAGATCCTGAGGGACCAGTGCAGCAGACTTGGGGCATGCAGCTGAGATCATCCTACGATGCGCCAAGGAGGTACTGGGCGAGACGCGAGGTGGATTCAGAGGAGACAAGGCAGCGTGGTTCTGGAACGAGGAGGTCCAGCGAGTCGTGAAGCAGAAGAAGGAAGCATACAAGCGCTGGCAGAAGACCCGGAGCCCGAGACCTCGCTACCTACAAGTTGCAAGAGGCTCGCTAAGGCAGCCGTCGCCAAGGCGAAGAACACGGAAATGGACGCCTTGTACGAGAAGTTGGAAGCCAGAAACGCAGAAAGTTCGTCTTCAGACTGGCCAAAGCCGGCATCGGGCTACCCAAGACATTAGGGTGGTGAAGAGCGTGAAGAGCAGTAACGGTGCCATCCTGAGGAAGCCAACTGAAGTCAGGAGGAGGTGGGAGGAGTACTACAAAAGCGCTCCTGAACGAGGAGTTTCCCCACAAAGACAGCTCGCAAGCAGAGGCGACGGCTGGCCCTATCTCACTATGGACAGAGGATGAGGTTCGTCAAGAACTAAGGAAGATGAAGGTTGGAAAGGCGGTGGGTCCAGATAAGGTGCCAATCGAGGCATGGAAGGCGCTCGGAGAGTACGGGATCAGATGGCTTACCCAATTCCTGAACACGGTAACCACCGAAGGAAGGATGCCGGATGCCTGGAGAACAAGCACTATCGTCCCCATCTTCAAGCAGAAGGGTGACGCGATGGACTGCTCCAACTACCGCGGGATCAAGTTGACTGCTCATACAATGAAGCTGTACGAGCGACTGGTCGACTCGAAACTGCGGGAGCTGGTCCCGATCTCCCAGGAACAGTTCGGGTTCATGCCTGAAAGGTCTACTACGGATGCCATCTTCATCGCGAGGCAAGTGATGGAAAAGTACCGAGAAAAGCGCCGACCCTGCTACCTAGCCTTCCTCGACCTGGAGAAGGCGTTCGACCGACTACCTCGAACAGTACTATGGAGAGCGCTCAGGGAGCGGAATGTGCCAGAACACCTGATCTCTCTGGTGAAGGACATGTACGATGGGGCGAAGGCAGCTATACGCACCCCACACGGCCTAACGAAGGAAGTGGACATCACGGTTGGGGTGCACCAAGGGTCAGCTCTGAGCCCCTTCCTGTTCCTCCTAACGCTCGATACCATGGTGAAGGGCCTCATGGAAGGACCACTGAAGACCATCCTCTACGCTGACGACATCGCCTCTGATAGCGGATAGCAGAGAGGAACTTCAAGCCAAGGTGCAGAAATGGCAGAAGGTCCTGGCAGAAGGTGGGCTCCGGCTGAATGTCAAGAAGACCAAGTTCCTGAGCTCCGAAGAGGGTGCAGAGCCGATCGTGGACGGCCATGGTGAGACCATCGAAAGAGTGGAGGACTTCGATACCTTGGGAGCGATCTGGCAGCCGACGGAAGTGTGGATCAGGCAGTGAAGGCACGAGTCAACGCTGCATGGATGAAATGGAGGGAGTCCACTGGAATCCTCTGCGATCGAAGGTGCTCCAGAACACTGAAAGGAAAGGTGTATCGGGCAGTGGTGAGGCCTGCGATGCTATACGGCAGCGAGTGCTGGCCCCTGAACAAGAATCACGAAAGGCAGCTTCACTCCGCTGAGATGAGGATGCTGAGGTGGGCCTGCGGCTGGACGCGACTGGACAGGGTCAGGAACGAGGAGGTCAGAGCGGTCATGCAGACTGCCCCTGTCCAGCTGAAGGTACGGGAACAGCGTCTGCGATGGTATGGGCACGTGCTAAGGAGGCCACAGGACCACCCAATAAGGAAAGCAATGGACTTCGAAGTGCAAGGCAAGCGACCGCGAGGAGCCCCAAAGAAGAGGTGGAAGGACGTAATCAAGAAGGACCTAAGTGAAATCACGGCCAGCAGAAGATGCCCTAGACAGAGCGAAGTGGCGACGACTGATAAAGACAGCGGACCCTGCGACTGCGCGGGACTAACGCTAGGGAGAAGAAGAAGAAGAAGAAGAAGTTAAAAGCACTTATTTTTCGCCACTTGTGCTCTCGCCATGCTTTTCCGTTTGTTTTTATTTTCCTTGTCTCGCATTCTGTCCAACACCTAGTAAAAATATTGTTGAAAATAACCCAAAAAGATCAATAATACTTCAAAAATACCTTCGGTATAGTCATAGAGGGATTCCGCTTAATGCCTTCCGTGATTTTCGACGCATGTTCACCGTATATTCGCTTGATGGCACGCAGCATTAATGATGGTGAAGCTACCACCTAGCTTCTCGTCCAAACTAAAGTTTGATCATAAGTCGCAGGAATCCCAAGAAATTTCTTGAAAACACTCGCACCAGAAGTTTCACAAGAATGCTGGGTTGTGAACAAAACTTTCGCCCCAGGCGGGACTAGAACCCGCACCTCTCGCTTTCCGGGCAAGTGCGCTACCAGTTACGCTACCGGGGCACCATTTCACCCAACTCAGCTTTTCATGGGTGCGGTTCGAGTCCCGCCTGGGGCGAAAGTTTTGTTCACAACCCAGCATTCTTGTGAAACATTTGCAAGGCGAACTGCGGCCAAAAACAGCAGTTAACAATCATAAATTCTCACCGGAATTTGTCCAATTCTGCCGATGTCATTCTCTCCATGCGCCTTCGCACAAGTTCCAACGACTCGATAGCGTATTTGTTCACATCGATTATGATATCCAACTTGAAATAGTTCTTTTAGCATCCAGACATTGTGAAAACCAATAGTTTGTAACAATGATGGCAGAAGCCGCACCTCAAAACGTTCGTCTTCGGTTCGATAAATGAATTCCTCGTATTGTGTCTTTTTGGAAGAAACGTGGGTAGTGTCTTCAGAAGACCATGATGGGAATGATACCCAGGTGTCATTTAATACCTTAAAACAATCAATAGAAAAAATTCATAAGGATGTTGTCGATGCCACCAACCTCATGGCACAGCTGTGTTCTGCCTGAACATACAGGCCTTTTGAAGCTATCGGGAAGACTCCTACAATCATAGAAATAGAAAGTTCACATTGAAAAAACATTTAAAACTTTACGATAAAAGTACAATAATCATAAATCTCACCTATAACTAACCCCAAGTTGTTTACAACTCGAGTAGTCAATTTGATGAGCCAGATCACTGGGAAAACGTTGCTCTATAGGAGCAGCAGACGCTGATGCACAGCTGGATTCACTTTCCACTCCGAGAATTTTCCGGAGACCTTCCAGTAAGTGCTTCTGGTTCCCTAGATATTAAAATTTACTAGGAAATGGGAATGATCTCACCAACTGAAACAAAGTGACTGGATGGTTCTGAAACAACTCACCAAAAAGAGCTTCCAGCATAGTTAATAGCTCGATGGCCGATATTATATTTGCACTGTAAAGATTGAGAGCGCGCAGGAATGTTTGGTATTTTTGCTCGTCCAAAAAGCGACGGATCTTAAAGAATAAAATTTGAATTTGATACATAACAATTCAGAAAAGAAAAAATAATAACAGAGATGAAGAAAAGATAATCTAGAAAGCACTCACATTGTCAAAATATATGATATCTTCGACAGTTGCACAGAGAGCGATATCTTTAACGTCGAGTTCTCTCTTCCACACAGAATCAAAATGTGATTTCGACTGAAACGGAATGACTGAATTTCAAGAGTATATTAAATACATGCTTATGTGCATTCCGCATAACTGTAAAAATACAATATAGCGGGGGGGGGGGGGAATGACCATGTTGCCAATATCAGCAAACTTTTCGTCGCAAAGAATGCCGCCGTTTGATGAAAGGTTTCAACGAATTAAACAAGCCTTGCATGTCACCCTATTAGAAAAAGCGCCCCCTCCTCCATGCCCTCACCGTGTTTAGAATATAACCTTAATCAGCAATCAGAGTCGAGCCCAAGGAGGTACAGCAATCGCCCAGCCTGGAGCTACTACGCGACTTCTCGATCCTGATGCATAACTTCCTAGGGTAATAGGAAAATGGTCTCGAATAGCTGCGACTATGCAAATCCTTTCCGACAAGCGCGAACATCGTTAATTCGAACTGAGTCAGAGAGTTATGAAAGGCTTCGAATTCTACACCACCATACGATAAACCGTGAAAGCCATAAGTAAAAGCCAGTGCCACCCAGTCCCATTTGAGCCTACTACAAATCGACCAACTAGCAGTAATGGAAGGCTTGGTCGATTTGGGAAAATTTAGGAACTTCAGGACAAGGCCACTGTCGCTATACCACCATCGCCCACTCAGAATCCTTGGCCTTCAACTCGCAGTTCAACCAGACAATGAATTGAAAAGGCCAGCCAATGCGCAGTTCAGTTCTTATTATGGGCGCTCCAGACAACCTTCATACAGCCAATTACCTTCTGAGCATTTGTTTTCCTAACTCCTACCACTAGTTCGGCTACAGCTTCACCTTTCGAGCCTTTTCAATCCCTTCAAAATATAAGAGAATACTAGCGGATGATGGCATTCTGCCCTAAATCCATGAGACACTGTAATGCATCAGTATGGGTGAATTGGCTCACTGAACACAGCTTTTTTGTAACGACATTCAGAACGAGAACTGACTTCTAAGTTTGTCTACCAGAAGAAAAGGAGGAAAAAGATTGCCGTCATTTTAACGAAGACCATAAACTACAGCCTGCACTGCGTGGATCAAAAAATGATGTCCATGGAAATGCGCAAAAGATGCGCCGTGAACTTGTAAAGATGTGTGCTTAAACAGTCCATGATAAGAACGTGGAGAACCGTACATCCTGATAAAATTCAGAATCCACTTTTTAAGGCGATATTCACTTGCAATATCAGGGGTTTCATGACATTTTGCAAGGCACTGTATGCTGCTTCACATTTTCGGCCTAGTACATTTCAAGGAAAAAACGAAAATGTTGATCAAAAAATAAACAATTCAAAAAATTTGAGCACAAGAGCGTTATGTTTATCTTGGTAGCTGTGCTGTGAAAACTAAAATAAAGAATCAACCATGTGAACGAACCTTGGACGGACTAGATGAAATCCTTGATCGCCGCTTTCGCTTGGGCATAGTTTCCAACTCTGGCTCTGAATCTGAGAGATCCATCTTTGCTTCAGAATCTGACGAAATAGTGGCTTCAGTCTGAATATAGATAGCTTGCTTTTTCAGAAACGAAAAATTAATGATGCGAGTCACCTCTTTCGATTCATAGTCGAAAAGGGGATCCGAAGGACCTCGGAAACCATGGACTCCTGGTAAAAAATGACGAAACTCTTCTAGTAAATCTGGTTCTTCGCCAAATAGAGCTGTCACGGCATCCAAAACGGCTTTTTCCCTTTGTGGAGTGCGAGCCTGTGATAAATGTGAATGAAGGAACTTATACCATGCAAAAAGAGACTTTACATACACAAAAAGCACAAGGAGTGAAGCATTCCTCGGGATGTTTCATAAGCACCAGGTAAATTAATGAATGAGTGATTATACAGGAAAACGATTCACTGGATATCACATATCTTGGCAGGAAACCAAGTCTTACCTGCTGGTCTACCGTCCTTTGGTATGAATGCAAAATGTCAAGAAATTTCTTATATACAATCGGCCGATTCGCGAATCTTGCCTAAACACCATTTTCAAGCAATACAGGCAATGGAAATAGTGTATTTGTAACGATCACCTTAATTCGATTGACGTAGCTGATGGCTTCGTTGATATCTTGGCTACTGGAGTTCATTAAGGGGCACACCTATGCCTGACAGATCGCGTTACTAATCGGGACTGTTCAAAGGGAAAAGGCCCGCTAATTTTATGCCAGCACGACTTCATTTATCAATCATCAGTAAGAATCTGCCGAAACAATTCGACGCACTGAGATGTAACGTCTCTCAATGAAACTCTTCATGCTTCATTATTAGAACTTTATGCGTCTGCCCGAAGCGTTAGTACGATGGAACCGTTTATTCAACAGCCAACATATGGACCTCTCAACATCACCAATCCATCGCGTTTCCAAAGGCCTTAGATTCCACCGCTGAAGTGTAGGGCTACACTCAATTAGTACATCAGTAGCGGATCGATGTTGATCCATTGTTTCAAAGTTGATTTTCCGTGACACTTTTAACACTAGCAAATGTCAGCATTTATTACCACTATTCCCGCCATTTTAATGACGCGCGTCCTCAGCGCCGCCAGCAACTACTTTCCGCTCCCCGTAAATTACCATCTGTATTTATTTATTTGATTGATTCTATCCTATGTATTCTCGTTCGACACACCCGACGTATATACAGAGGGTGGCCTATAAATGTATACAGTTAAAACATACCACACTTGGCGAGGGGGCAAGTGCTGCAGGTGTCGGAGTGCCTTGAGCACTTTCGACATTATGCTGACATTCTATAGTTGAAGGCTGTTGGCACGGTGAAAGGGTCTCAACTACGGGTGGCTTTTCTTCAGTCACTCGCTCAGCTTCCGGATTGTTGAAAATAACCTGCAATGCAGTTTTATGAAAGCCATTAGCTGAAGAAATAAAACAAAAACTCGTTGATAAACTGCAAGCATAAGCCCCTGAATCAAGGACCACAAAAGGTAAGACTTCTTACACCCTGAGCCAGTGGCGACTATTGAGACACAAGTTGCAAGTCCACGACCTATATGGACATCCAATCAGGAGGTCCTACTTGGCCACGAAGTGGATTCAATGCAACGGAACTGAGCAAATGCAGCACGAATAAAACTATATGGCGTCTGTAGGCTCAGCCTCTTATCATAGAAAGACAACGATAAAAATGGCTGTTTCACAACCGCAGCCAGAGAGGATAGATTTTCGAAGAGTTCCGCAACTTTGAACCAAAAGAGTTGCGTGGCGCATCCCAGCAGAAATTACTGGATGATATGATGACTAATAAGCAACTCAATCGTCACTCACCTGTTTGTTACCGCTAGGCTCTGTGATTGTAATCTTCGATCCCACTACTTGCACTTCAAATCCTGGCGGCAGGAAAGTGTTGAATCCCATTATCAGAGCGGATCTCCCATGAAATAAGCGACTTACTCGTGTGATTACGCCGGGTGTGTCGATGCTGAATACGAAGTAGATAGACAGATCGAGTTACTGAATCCAAAATGTGAATGCACGTACGCTTGAGACTTGAAATCTTTCATGATGTCGAGAAACTGAGTGTAAACATTTGGCTGGTCAGCAAACTGAGTTTTCACCTGATCCAAATAGGAGAGAGCATCTTCCACCTGCAACTACAAGAGATATTTCAGTACACAACTATAAGCCTTTCACAGTCATTAACTTGAAAGAATTCTCAGTGAATTCGCAGTAGTATTGTCTTGTTTGGTTCTAAACCATGCAATTTTTTGTACACACCTTACGGAGGAGATAGCTGTATGAACTATATAGAAACGCTATTTAAAAAAATCAAAGCAGCCATTCCATGCTGTCTAGGTTTTTCTTTGCTATATCAATTTATACTATCCACCATTTTCTCCCAAAAGCGATCACAACCTATTATGTCAAATTTTGGCTATTATTCAAATCAATAATTTCGTTCAGAAATATGTAGAACAAACTTTGACTCTGTTTTGATTCATTCCCATGAGCGTTGATATCATACTGATCGTAGAGACTGCTTCCAGAGCCACCACTACCACAAGTGTTGTACATCCTGCAAATTCGTCACATCATATCGAGAATGCATGGATGATCTGATTATGAAAAACTCCAGATGGATCAGGATACGCTCGTTATCACAGAAGATTGCAAAGAATTCAGATGGGCAGAAGAACAGGCACCAAAATTCGCAAAAACTTGGTAAGTAAATAGTTCTATTTACTTCATTACCATTGGATGGGATATGTGTCGCTAGGGTGAACGCCTTGCGCCTGATGACTACCACCAAGGCCAATTTTCACAACCGAAGAAATGAAACCCAAACGAAAAAAATTGGTAGAAGAGATACGCAATGACGTTTAATATCTTGAAACCTGATGCTTCTGACGGATTGTGTCCACATAAGAATGGTAAGAGTAGGGTACGGGAAGGGAAAGTGCGGCTACTCATGAGTGTCCCGCGACCACCCATGAGTAGCCCCGATCGATCAGGCTATCCTCCGGGTTTTTCTTTTTTGACTACAACTCTCTCATGGAGGATAAAAAACATTGAGTCGTGCATCAGCCTGTTGCCTCGGACTGTATAGACCAACACACCTTCAAATGCTCGCACAATCCAGAGTAAAAGTTAAACGAGCGACGTCCCTTCCCCTTTTTAATCGATCTTATCCAGTGTGCTTCGTCTTAGACATTTTTAGTATTCCTACTACACATCAAAGGGCTTTAACATAATGGAGAGGGGGTGGTTATCGTGGCGCAGAGCACACAAGTAAAAAGTAGTTCACTAAGACAGAAAGCGACTTTTTCGCGTGTCGCAGGGCGAAAGGCAAAAAAGTCGCTTTCTGCTCTAGTGAACCACACTCAAGTATTGAAACTAGTAAAAACATTTCATGCGCTATCGCAAGATACGGGTGCATTGCGGCAGCAATGCATTGAAACCGCGTGAGAAGTCCAGGGCTCGCTAGCGATTTCCACTTTCCCAAAGTTTCTTGCCCTCGTAAGTAGTCCTAGAGGTTGCTCTTCGTGCCTAATCCTAGAGGTATCTTGCGATAGCGCCACTTTTCGTTTTGTTACTCACTTGATTGTTCCCCCCCCCCTCCAAGAGAAGGGGATCAATGGTGCCGGGACCAACCATAACGCTTCTCCCTCCCGCCCCAGCATACTTGCTCCAAAGCAAGAAACAAAAACAACAAATTAATTCGACGAATTCACTTCTACTTAAAGAAAAAAGCGAAAAAATAACTGATCTGTCCAGGAAGTCACCAAACAAATTTGTGAAGCATTTACTAAAGAATCAGCATCAGTTTATAACTAAGAAGCCATTACTGCCCGTAGTACACAACAAAAAAAGAAAGAAATTGAGGTGCTGCGATTAGAGAGAAGTGGGAATGAAAACAAATAAGCTCAACAGAACCACAGCCAAAAAACTGCCCCATGTGAAAGGAGAATTTGGAAAACTTTATAGCCAGCGCGTTTCACGTAAGATAAATCAGAAGCGTGTCATTACCAATACCTCCCCCACCTTCCCTCCCCTCTAAGAAGCAATATTCATTGGAATGAACCCAGATAATGTAGAGAAGATAAGGAAGTACACTATGATCCAGAAGGTAAAAGCGAATAACGACGACAAACCCAATGAACATCTATCTTGCCGCGTCGCGACATCTTGGGTTGCTATTTTGTTTTCGAATAAGTTCTCGCGGCTGCGTCGCGGTTCGTTATTGGAGCGCACTGGAAGCACCTTGCGCACCTT